ATAAAGGCCACTATCATCTTAGTTGCCTGGGTCGAAACAATAACAAAGTTCTTACATAGAAAGCATATGAAATATAAAGTGTTGATACAGTCTGACGTTTCTTCAAACAGAAAGATTCGTTATAGATGGAATTGCATCGCCAAGAGTTTGAAGGAATGAATAGATAGTAAGTTTTTGTATAGTTGGAACAGGGTTATCTTTTTGTGTACTAGGCTGATTAGAGATGGTTATCAGATGGTGTCAAATTTTTGTGAGAAGTGTTAATGTTTTCTGTCTGTTTTATGGGAGCCCCAAAGTTGCATATGCAGAATCATGCTAAAACTGAAAGCTTTTGCCTCCTTTTTTGGGACATTGAGAAGTCTGTGTAAGCTGTTTAATCGAAATGTTTATTGCAGATGCCACTAATTTTGCTGCTGATAGTAGTGTCCATCTAAGAGCAATCTTTGGTGCTTGTCTGCACATGGTTGGTGATCTGACTAAAGATTGTATCAACGGTATCCATCTTGTGGAGAACAAGAGATCAGGGTTACGCAAGCTTCTTCAGTTAAAGCTTGCATTCTGTCTGGAACAACTTTTTTCACTGGCTAAGCTTGCCTACGAGTTTGATTGTCCAGGAGATGAAACTGATACCAATTATATCTGTATTGCCGTGTTGAAGAGTTGCCACAATAGTGTAGCAGCAGTAGTTAAAGATTCCAATATGCAGGTAACTGAGACCTGCCTTCTCGCCATATACTACTTCAGCCACTAATTATCAAGCTCTTAACAATATTAGCTCAAATATCTGCAGGTCCAAGCTACTGCCTTACAAGTGCTAAAAAGCTTGGTGCAGCGTTACAACAACCCAGAGGAGAAACGTTTTGTGATCTTCTTTGTTGGGGAACTTACTGAAGATATTATCAGTCTGATGCAGAGGGCACTTCTGGTTGTTTTCTTGTTTCTTTCTTCCATGTCAACAGAATTTACATTTTAGGAGAAAAGTTCAATTTTGACGTCTTTTAGATGAAAAACTATGATTACTGACTTCTTTCTTATTCTTTTGGATAGAAACCTATGAATAAGGAATCGGTGGTTATAGCCGGTGAATGCTTGCGGTTCATAATGCTACTTCAGACACACTCAAATATTGATGAACTTCAGAGGGGATTCATGAGCCTTTTTCTTGAATCTGTTCTTGTGGTTTTCTCTAAGACTTCAGATGGCGTTTCCCAGGTTCCATTCCTAGCCCAGACTGTAAATTCTGCATCAGAAATTTGTTGCTCCCTCTTACTGCAGTTTGTAAATTTCTTTTTTGTTTTTGTTTTTGTGGATCCAGGAAGTCCTCGAGTTAAGAAATGTATCTGTGCGGCTTGTTTCCCATCTAGCTCAGTTGCCTGCTTCGGCTGTTGACTTTAAGGATGTTTTGCTGTCGCTGCCAGCAACACACCGGCAGCAGCTTCAGGTTCTCGAATGCATTCGATTTTATATACTCCCCTGGAAACAGTGTGCTCAAAAGTTTTCATGGATCCCAAATCCCCCATCTTTTTTACTAACCAAACTTTTGCTTTATTTTCCTTGTATTTGCTACCCTTTTGTTATTTTTTCTTAACTTATATTTCCCACGATTCAAACTTGGATCTAACATAGAAACTTAAAACTAGGATTAATGTTTCTTGTGGGGGTTAAGCATTTTGCGTACAAATATTTGAAATAACCATCTAATTGGTGTCCTTGTCTTTTGATGTTAGGATATTATCCGTGCTTCCGTTTCTCAAGATAGCACCCTTTCAAAGCCAAAATCCTTGGTTCCACCAATGGATATCAAACTACCAGCGCTTGTGGTAGCAACACCTGAGAAAGTTAAAGCAGAAACATTGTCCACTGTACCAACATCATCACTCAATCAGGTTAACGCAGAAGAAAGTGGAAACAACGAAGAAA